TGTCACTAGGTTACCTCCCTTGTCCAGTAGCGGCCCCGCATCCTCCCTGAGCACTCTCTTATTGCTCACGTGGCTGTAGAAATCTTTGCTGTTACCTTTCACATCCTGTATGGGCTTGAATTCCAATGGCACTTTGGACTTTCTGAGCACACCCCTGCATGCTCACTGTATTTATCCTCCTCCCTAGTCATCTGTCCAAGTTTCCACTTTTTGTCAGCTTCCTTTTCGTTTTCGAGCTCCCCAAAGCTTTTGCAGTTAAGTGACGCTGGTCGCCTGCTGTATTTGCTTTTCTTTCTGCGCATCGGGATGGTTTGTTCCTGCACCTTCAATAAGATTTCTTTAAAATCCAACTAGCTATCCTGGACTCCTTTCCCCCTCGTGTTAGCCTCCTGGAGGATTCGTGATTTTTTTTAGACTTCTAACATTCTCTCCCGTTCTTTAGTCATTTCTCTTCCAAGTAGCAAAGTGCCAGTCTTGTTAAATTCTCCTCCCATGGAAGCTGTTCTTTACCCCTCATCACGTCTGCTGCCCTTTCTGTACCTTTTCCAAATCCAAAACCTTTTTTAGATGGGGTGACCAGATCTGCACACAGCAGGGGTCAGCAAGATTTAACCTTCTGGCCCTGGGCCATACGGCTCTCCCGGAAGCGGGGGAGGGACTCTCTCCACTGCACGCCCTGTAGACCATCTGGGTCAATTCAAGCCTTTCCGCGGACGGCCAGTTGCTGATGAAAACTCACTGTTAATGACATCATTCTGCCCAAGCCATTTTGCTGGTGCTGACGCTGGGGACAACAGTTTAATTTAAATGATTAAACAGATGAAATGTTTTAACTTTACAATGGAGTTAATCAAACTTCATTTTAAATGAAGTAAAACATTTTGCCCAACACAAACGGTTCCCGTGTTTTCGGTATTTATGGCACAGGTGGGGAACCTTTTTTGGTCGGGATTTACTGACCCACAGAAAAAAAAAACCCCTATCCTCACTGATGTGGTCCCCAACTGAGACACCTCACTCCCCTGGGGCTCCAGCCCCCACAGGGTGAGGGGAAGGGAAGGGAAGGAAAGGGAAGGGAAGGGGAAGGAAGGGAAGGGAAGGGGGGACTGAGGTCCCAGGCTTCCCATAGGCCAGATTTACTTTCCTGGGGTTCTGGAGTTAGTGGATTTTGTGAATCCCCTTAGGCTCTGGGGTGGGAGCAAAAATGAGGGGGTGGAATGTGTGGGGCAGGGCTGCCAGTGAGTGGGACAGGGTGCAGGAGGGGGTGAGGAGGGCAGGGACTGGAAGGGAGTTTAGCAGCAGGAGGGGGTGGGGGTATGAGAGGCAGTTTGGGGGTTGGAGGGGGCTGGGACAGTAACACAGAAAAGGTGAGAGGGTGAGAATGCAGCAAATAGCTAGTTGGGGAGTAAAGGCAAGTGCAGCTTCTGCAAAGTAAAATTGTAACCCCCCCACTTCTTCCCTCTGCTCCAACCGCGCTCCCCTCAGCCCCATGATCCTCCCCCACCTGATCCCCTGCAACCCCCATTCCCCTCATTGCAACCCCTGCCCCTCCCATCTTCCCCCGCCTCCTGCCCCTGCCTGATCCCCTGCATCGCCCCATCCCCTCAGTGAAACCCCTGCCCCTCCCGTCCTGCCCCTGCCTGATCCCCTGCATCGCCCCATCCCCTCAGTGAAACCCCTGCCCCTCCCGTCCTGCCCCTGCCTGATCCCCTGCATCGCCCCATCCCCTCAGTGAAACCCCTGCCCCTCCCGTCCTGCCCCTGCCTGATCCCCTGCATCGCCCCATCCCCTCAGTGAAACCCCTGCCCCTCCCGTCCTGCCCCTGCCTGATCCCCTGCATCGCCCCATCCCCTCAGTGAAACCCCTGCCCCTCCCGTCCTGCCCCTGCCTGATCCCCTGCATCGCCCCATCCCCTCAGTGAAACCCCTGCCCCTCCCGTCCTGCCCCTGCCTGATCCCCTGCATCGCCCCATCCCCTCAGTGAAACCCCTGCCCCTCCCGTCCTGCCCCTGCCTGATCCCCTGCATCGCCCCATCCCCTCAGTGAAACCCCTGCCCCTCCCGTCCTGCCCCTGCCTGATCCCCTGCATCGCCCCATCCCCTCAGTGAAACCCCTGCCCCTCCCGTCCTGCCCCTGCCTGATCCCCTGCATCGCCCCATCCCCTCAGTGAAACCCCTGCCCCTCCCGTCCTGCCCCTGCCTGATCCCCTGCATCGCCCCATCCCCTCAGTGAAACCCCTGCCCCTCCCGTCCTGCCCCCCACCTGATCCCCTGCATTGCCCCATTCCCCTCACTGCAACCCCTGCCCCTCCCATGCTGCCCCCACACTCCTGTGCCCCCAGCACACTGCCTGGCAGGGCAGCAGCACTGGGCCGAGGGGGGGCAGAGTCTCTTCCCTGACCACACTGGCCCCTTGTCTGCAGGCTGCCGCTCTAGGGCTGGGGCAGGCAGAGCCCAGGGCTGCCTGGGGTTGGCTCCAGCCTGGCTGGGCTCAGAGGGATGATGGGAAAGGAGCTCCCTGACCCTGCATACACCCCGTGAGGAGCAGCCTGGCGCATCACGTGTGCAGCCACCCAGCCCCAGCTCTGAAGAACAGGCCCAGCCCCACCCCCTGTGGTGGTGGTGGGGAGTTAACCCCTGAGCTCCTGGGAGCTGCACGCCCAAATCTGCAGCTGTGCCACTTAGGCTCCAGCCCAGCATGGGCTGCACAGGGGGGAGGGGAGGGACCCCGGCACACAGGATCCAAGGTGTGGGAATACGATGGCTTCATGGGGGCAATAGGGTATTTTGTCTTATTAAATATTCCTTTCCTACGGATTCCCAATATTCTGTTAGATTTTTAGTTTTTAGACTGCCACTGCATATTGAACAGATGTTTTGAGGGAACTATCGACAATGATTCTAAGATCTCTTTCTTGAGCGTTAACAGCTATTTTCACCCCCATCATTTTTCTATCTGTAGTTAGGATTATATTTTTCTATGTGCATTACTTTGCACTTATCAGCACTGAATTCCATCTGGCCTTGTGTTGCCCAATCACCCAGGGATGTGAGATCCCTTTGGAACTTTTTAGCATCAGCTTTGGGTTAGTCCCTGTTCACCCCTTGTTTGAGAGCATTTATAAATTTAACAGCTGTGATCCAAATGCAAATCCCAGCAGCACAACACTCATTCCTACTCTTTCTTCCCCCTATCTTTTAAGTGGGGTATCTGGCAATATTTTCATGATGATCTAATAACCCTTCAATTACTTGAATGCCCCAGACTTTTGTTATTGTTAATCACTCTGCCTCCCTCTTTTTATAACAATCTTCCTGCCCCAAAGGCAGAGCTGCAAGAAGTTCAAACTCTGTTGCATGTAATAACTGCCTACTGCACATTCAACAGATGTCTTCTGGGCACCGTCTGCAGTGAGCCCAAGATCTTTCTTGAATGGTAACAGCTAACTTAGACCCCGTCATTTTTGAATGTATAGTTGGGATTCTATTTTTCCATGTGCATCTCTCTGCATTTATATCAACACTGGATTCCATCTCCCCCTGTGCCAAACACCCAGTTTGGGGAAATCCCTTTGTAACTCTTTGCAGTCAGCTTTGGATTAGTCCCTGTTCATCCCTTTTTTAAGAACATTTAAAAGTCTGGCAGTTTCAGGGGTAGCTCTGAACAGGAAAACTTAAAAACCAACCAATGGTCTGGTAGCACTTTATAGACTAACAAAGCATGTTGATGGTAAAAGTTTAACAGCAGTGGTGTCTATGCAAATCCCAGCTGCCCGACACTCATTCCTATTCTCTCACCTCTCCCCCGTCTTGTTAGTGGAGTACCCGGCAATGTTTTCATGATCATCTAACAATCCATCAATCACCTGAGTGCCCAGCCTTTTGTTATTTTAATCACCTGCCTCCCTCTGTTTATAACAAACTCCCTGCCCCAACGGCAAAGCTGCAAGCAGCTCAAACTCTGTTGCATTTAAGAGCTGCCTCTGGAGCCAGGGCTTAGACCTTAAGCAGACCTCAAGCATGAAATCCAAGGGCTCTGATTTCAGAAGGGGGGACTGCCCCTGTAAGCCCTGTGAATGGCACCCTTGCCAGTGTGTAAAGTTAAGGATGAGCATAAGCGCTTTGCTGTACTGGCGCATGAGTCTGCTTGTGCAAGCTGCAATTATGGCTGGCTCCTATTAGGCAACAGAACAACAGACAGTTTTTGTGTATGGACACAACACATCACTGGTTTGGTTAAGTGGCAGAATTAGTTTGGGACTATGCAAAGCATAACAGAACGATCCCCACTTAGAACAAGCAAAAAAAGTGGCTCTTGGTTTCATTTAAAATTTGAGCTGCCAAACATTCGAATGGGAATGCTGGTGCCTTGATGTAGGCACCTAAATCCACATTCAGACACCCTGAATTTCACTTGCCTTTCCCACTGCTTTCAGCATGCTCTCCCAGGAGTCTGCATTTCCTTGACACAGACTTCTCCCTTCCAATCACTCCATTCTCTCAGCAGCTCAGTGACCCTGGTGCCTGGATATCATCTCCTAGGGAAACTCACTGCAATTTGTTTCATATTCTGGGTGACAGAGGGCCCAAGGAAATGTCCCGTATACCCTGTTGTGAAGGGCTAAGTGGAGCTCAGAGATGCCTCGGTCGCGTGCTGGCTCTTTGCAAGGGGGTGACGTGCATCCTCGGCACTTCTGGGCCCTGGCTATTCCAGTCCGCTGAAGGCACTAGTAGCTAGAGCATTTGGCAGCTCCCAGGAAGCACAGAGCAGCTGGCAGTTCTGGGCCCCGTCACAGCGCTTGTCAGTGGTGACTTAAAACATGAATGCAAAGCAACAGATGTAAAACTTCAACCAGGTTGATTACGGCATATTGCATGTTATCTTTTATTTGGTCTTGTTTCCACCCGGGCACTTCAGTTGGCTCTTTGCCAAGGAGATTATAATTGACCCTAGCCAGTGACAGTGGTGTCTTTGTTACACAGTAACTGCGGGGAACTCTTTAAAAGTCTAGGCAAGCAGAGAGCTGAGAGGCACTTCCCAAGACTTCTGGTCACCATGAAGACTCTCCTGACTGCAGCTCTGTGTCTATGCACGCTGGCTGCCTTCTCGGACTGTGTCACGGTCCAGGTAAGAGTTTTTTCATTCTTCCTGCAGCGTCACTGGCATCACATAGAGCTAAGCAGGAGTAACCTGCATGTCACCCAAGGATCAGAGTCCCCTGGGCATGGAGGCCAAGTGAACAAATCTGGGAGCTGAGGCCCAGGAAAATTAAGACCCAGACTTTCAAACGTGAACAACTAAATTTAGTTCCTAACTCCATTGGTGGGCGTTCCAAAGTGGCCTGAAGCCCATAGGAGTGGAGCACCCAGAGCTGCCACTGACTGGAGTGGGAATTACCCCCCACTTACTACAAAGCTGAGCAGGGCACATTCCTAACTAAAAGGTCAGCCCAACTTCAGCTAGCTTAGGAATAAACCAGCTTGTCCTCAGGGGCCAGGGAAGGCCGAGATTGTTAAAACAAGTCCAAGTAACTCTGGACCACGTGTACTCTGCTGGGAATTTGGGGTGCCTCGAAACAGCCCCATACTACATCAACAAACTAAACTAACAAATAAAAAAGCCTCATAGATCTAAGGTGACATTTGCAAGCTGCCACCTAGTGCACTTTGCCTGCATTTATATCCCTTCCCACTCCTTACGCCTCCTTCCTGTGTTCAGCACCGAGTACAATGGAGCTTTGATCAGGATGGACCTTCTTGGTGCTACAGTCAAGAATACAAATAATACTTATAAAATAATCATAAGTCTCATCCTCTGCCAGGTGGTGTCCCCATCAGTTCCATACAACGGTGCCCCTGGTATTGCAGTACATACATTAAAACTGCCAGGCTGTGTCTAGACTGGCAAGTTTTTCCGCAAAAGCAGCTGCTTTTGTGGAAAAACTTGCCAGCTGTCTACACTTGCTTGAATTTCCGCAAGAACACTGACGACCTCATGTAAGATTGCCAGTGTTCTTGCGGAAATGCTATGCTGCTCCCGTTCGGGCAAAAGCCCTCTTGCGCAAGAGAGCCAGTGTAGACAACGTGGTATTGTTTTGCACAAAAAAGCCCCAATGGCGAAAATGGCGATCGGGGCTTTCTTGTGCAAAACCACGTCTAGATTGGCACAGATGCTTTTCCACAAAAGCACTTTTTGCGGAAAAGCGTCCGTGCCAATCTAGACGCTCTTTTCCGCAAATGCTTTTAAAAGAAAAACTTTTCTGTTAAAGGCATTTGCGGAAAATCCTGCCAGTCTAGACGTAGCACCACTGTGTTTAATTTTAAACCAGTGCCTGGATTTTTGGGAAATAACTGAGAACTCGGAAAGATGCAGAGTGAGATCAAACGCAGCAGCAGCCTGTGTCTCTAACAAGGGGCACAGCTATTTAGGAAAGAGGTGGGAAGGGTAAAGAATTGGAGATTAGGAAAGACCCATATACAACACACTAGTGTAATGACCCATGTCATAAAGCCCGGTCAGAAAATGTCGAATGACACATTAGATTATTTCCTTTCTACATTTGTCCAGCTAGCTTCAGCTTCCAGCTGTTGGATTTCTCTGCTAGATGGAAGAAACCCTATTAAGTATTTGTTCCCCATGTGAGAGCAAATCCCGGGGCTGGAATGATTTAGTTGAGGTTGCTTTGAGCGGGGTTGGAATAGATGACCCCCTGAGGTCTCTTCCAAACCTTATCTTCTATGCTTCCATGTAGGTACTAATAGCCTTTATCAAATGGGTCCTTAACTTCTTCTCTATGTTAAAACTATTGAGCTCCTTGAGTCTATTACAAAAGGCGTATTTTCCATCTCTTTAATAATTCTCATGGCCCTGCTCTGAACCCTTTTATAGAGCTCCATAATGAGGGAGGGACATAATATAAACATAAAAATGGAGAGATGGACAGATTAGATAGCTTTGATATACCACTGTCAAGGTTGAAATCTAGGCGCTCTTATCCCATTGCAAAGTGCTTCGAAATGCTTCCCACTGAGAGATACTAGAGCCTCGTGGAAGTCAGTGGTGTTATCTTCAGAAAAAGTAAAAGTAAAATGCCAGAAAGATCAATCAGTAGAGCAGTGACAACAATAAGTGTCAGAACTGCATCATTTTTAATGCTTGGCAAACAGCAGCCGAAAGGTGAATGGAAACTATTGTAAATACATTGCAGCAGATGGAAGACCTGAGCCTGGTTTCTCCTAACACAGGGGTCATAACCATAATTAGTCTTTAGGGTGCTGCTAGACTTTGTTTTCTAAGTGTACCCTGCAAAGTCCAGGCTCCCATGCTATTTCAGAGGAGAGCACGGATTGAAGAAAGGGGGGCTGAGGGCCAGGAGATGCTAATGCCAGCTCACTCTAGGAAGGAGGGCAGTCACTGGACCTATTTGTGCGTCAGCCAGCTGAGCTGAAAGAGCTGAAGGAAGAGCTTCTGAGCAAATAGCAAGCGCTGGAGATGTGGGTGAGGCGGGAGGCGATGCTGGGACAGGGGCCCAGGCAAGTGGAGATTGCTGGGAATGTGAGTGCAGCCTTTGAGGGACTCTGGAAAGGTGACTCGTGCACTCAGTGGGAGAATATCACCCCCTTCTCTGTCCCATCTCACCCTGCGTTACTAATGGAGCCCTTCACCTTTGGTGCCCATGGGGAGGGGATTTCCATAACCAGACAACTCTCCAGCTACTCTAGTAGCCTGAACTGAGCAGAGCCCAATGCCAGATGGTTCAAAGACAGCTGTAAGGTTCAGCTCTCCCATTTGCACCAGTGTTTATCCAACTGTACACGAACTATCGAGGCTGTCCATAGCTTACATAAGAACATAAGAATGGCCGTACTGGGTCAGACCAAAGGTCCATCTAGCCCAGTAGCCTGTCTGCCGACAGTGGCCCGCAACAGGTGCTCCAGAGAGGGTGGACCAAAGACAATGATCAAGCGATTTGTCTCCTGCCATCCTTCTCCAGCCTCTGACAAACAGAGGCCAGGACACCATTTCTATCCCCTGGCTAATAGCCTTTTAACCTAACCTCCATGAAATTATCCAGCTTCTCTTTAAACTCTGTTATAGTCCTAGCCTTCACAGCCTCCTCTGGCAAGGAGTTCCACAGGTTGACTACACGCTGTGTGAAGAAGAACTTCCTTTTATTAGTTTTAAACCTGTTACCCATTAATTTCATTTGGTGTCCTCTAGTTCTTCTACTATGGGAATTAATAAATAACTTTTCTTTATTCGCCCTCTCCACACCACTCATGATTTTATAGACCTCTATCATATCCCCCCTCAGTCTTCTTTTTTCTAAACTGAAAAGTCCCAGCCGTTTTAACCTCTCTTCTTATGGGACCCGTTCCAAACCCCTAATCATTTTAGTTGCCCTTTTCTGAACCCTTTCCAAGGCCAAAATATCTTTTCTGAGCTGAGGAGCCCACATCTGTACACAGTATTCAAGATGTGGGAGTACCATAGTTTTATACAGGGGCAGTAAGGGGTGTAAAGCCCAGGGAAAGGACCAAGTCATGAAGTTACTTGTGATTTAAGCTGTCCCTATGTTTCGACGGGCTGGCGTTGGGAATTAGATTCTGGCGTCATTGCTCCGTCTCATTTCTTGCTCAGTGGAGGCACAGGGGACTGTATGGAGATGGATGCTGGGATCTGGACTAATCCATGATCTAACAAGGTAGCTCTTGGAATAAAGACCGTCCACACTGACGGCTTGAGGGCACTCAAACTGCTGTAGGCTAAGGATGGACAGACTGTTTCAATGTGTGTCTCTACAATGGCAGGTGGGAAAGTTCTCGTTCCCCCTGGAATCCGTGAAGAAGCTGAAAGGCCTCCTGGACAGTCCTGTGGCCAAGAACCCTCAGCTGCGCAGTGCCAGCTTCACCCCTCCGTGTGACAACCCGGACCTGCCCACGGAGTTCCAGAGCCTGTGTGCGGCTCCTAACGCAGACATGATCTTCCAGGATCTAAGTAGGTATTTCCTGCTGGTGCCCCAGAAACCAGCCTTGGTCAGTAGGGAACCACTGCCCTGAGCATCCCACAGCTCTGCCTTTCAAGGGCAGAATTTTGGGAGCCTGGGAGGTGGAGGCAGCGCAGCAGCTGTGTGCTCCAGGACACCGCTGGCTTTTCATCCCGTTCCCTGGACCCTAAGGGATGAGAGGAAGTGCCTGCATTGCGCACATGTCTCTCACGCCTGGCTGGTGAGCTCCCTTCATGCATGGAGTGCAAGCACTTTCCCCTCACTCCCCTAGCATCCGGGGAACGGGAAGAAGAGCCCCCCAAAATGGCACCTTTGGTCAGCCCACTCCACTCTCCCGATGCCCCAAAGCCCTAGTACCTTGTAAGTTTCAGGATGCTTTGGGGTTTGATTTCTCCTCTCTCCCTCCTGTGGGAGCTTTTCTCCTGGGAGAAGTTCAGTGTGGTCCGAGAGCGTGCAGCTCTTGTACATCCTTCCCCACGTGGCTCCTGTCCATCCCCTCAGAGGCGGCCCACGTGCCAGCCCTCAGAGCACAGGGATCTCCATGTTCGGCTCTGCCGGAAGGTGTGCACGGCCCAGACACTCAGCTGGGACGGGTCTGGGTGCAGGCGGACAGCTCCGGCATTAGAGGAAAAGGAGAAGCTGGTCCTAACCGTATCTGTTGTCTTTGATTTTAGAACCCATCGCTAGGTCTCCTGAGCTCTGTGAGATTTGTGCTTTTGCTGCCTGTGCTGGCTGCTAGAGTCTTCCTCAGCCTCCAGCCCCAGGAGGCGTTACAGCAGCATGCTCCAGCGCTCCCCACAGCCCTTTCACCTCTCCTTTCACTGGCCTGGGAAGACAAGACAGCAACACTGACTCCTGCACCTCTCAGCACTGCTCCCTCCTGCCAGCACTGAACACCAGCAGCCAAACCACCCATTCCGCATACAAATAAAATGAATAAATTGGCTTTTGTATTTGTCTTCTGGTTTCTGAGCCTCCAGGGAACACTCAGGGTGTGTTTCAGAGATTTTCTCCATTACTCTGAGGAACAAAAACTTAGATGTTTTAAATGAAAGATAATCACATCATCACTTGACTCCAGGAGCTGGAGCTTTAAAAAACACCAAATGTCACAAAATGCACAATGAATTCACAAGAGTTGGCAACACTGGCAAACACTCAAGATGCAGCAGCATTCGTCCTTATCTGTCCACCAGGCCTGCTCGCCTCTCTCAAACCAGCATTTATCGATTAAAGACAGAAATTGCTATTTTTCCTGAAACGTACACTTCAAACCATCTATTTTGTGATTTTTTTAAGCTTGAAATTAAACCTTCATTGGGCATTCCAAACACTTTAGACGGGGATTTTTTCATTCCAATTTTACGCCATGACCAAGAAGAGAACCATGAGGGCCAAAATTAACTATTGCATAAAAGCTGTTCTCATGATCACGCCAGTTGATCACCTCGCCTCGCCTCGCCTCGCCCTGCCCTGCCCTGCCCTAGCTCCAGGGAGCCTCCTGCTTCCCCAGCAGCCAGGCCCTCCCTGCTGTCCCCTAGAACCGCTGGCAGTTCCCCTTTATAGCTCCTGGGGAACGGGAAGAAGAGCCCCCCAAAATGGCACCTTTGGTCAGCCCACTCCACTCTCCCGATGCCCCAAAGCCCTAGTACCTTGTAAGTTTCAGGATGCTTTGGGGTTTGATTTCTCCTCTCTCCCTCCTGTGGGAGCTTTTCTCCTGGGAGAAGTTCAGTGTGGTCCGAGAGCGTGCAGCTCTTGTACATCCTTCCCCACGTGGCTCCTGTCCATCCCCTCAGAGGCGGCCCACGTGCCAGCCCTCAGAGCACAGGGATCTCCATGTTCGGCTCTGCCGGAAGGTGTGCACGGCCCAGACACTCAGCTGGGACGGGTCTGGGTGCAGGCGGACAGCTCCGGCATTAGAGGAAAAGGAGAAGCTGGTCCTAACCGTATCTGTTGTCTTTGATTTTAGAACCCATCGCTAGGTCTCCTGAGCTCTGTGAGATTTGTGCTTTTGCTGCCTGTGCTGGCTGCTAGAGTCTTCCTCAGCCTCCAGCCCCAGGAGGCGTTACAGCAGCATGCTCCAGCGCTCCCCACAGCCCTTTCACCTCTCCTTTCACTGGCCTGGGAAGACAAGACAGCAACACTGACTCCTGCACCTCTCAGCACTGCTCCCTCCTGCCAGCACTGAACACCAGCAGCCAAACCACCCATTCCGCATACAAATAAAATGAATAAATTGGCTTTTGTATTTGTCTTCTGGTTTCTGAGCCTCCAGGGAACACTCAGGGTGTGTTTCAGAGATTTTCTCCATTACTCTGAGGAACAAAAACTTAGATGTTTTAAATGAAAGATAATCACATCATCACTTGACTCCAGGAGCTGGAGCTTTAAAAAACACCAAATGTCACAAAATGCACAATGAATTCACAAGAGTTGGCAACACTGGCAAACACTCAAGATGCAGCAGCATTCGTCCTTATCTGTCCACCAGGCCTGCTCGCCTCTCTCAAACCAGCATTTATCGATTAAAGACAGAAATTGCTATTTTTCCTGAAACGTACACTTCAAACCATCTATTTTGTGATTTTTTTAAGCTTGAAATTAAACCTTCATTGGGCATTCCAAACACTTTAGACGGGGATTTTTTCATTCCAATTTTACGCCATGACCAAGAAGAGAACCATGAGGGCCAAAATTAACTATTGCATAAAAGCTGTTCTCATGATCACGCCAGTTGATCACCTCGCCTCGCCTCGCCTCGCCCTGCCCTGCCCTGCCCTAGCTCCAGGGAGCCTCCTGCTTCCCCAGCAGCCAGGCCCTCCCTGCTGTCCCCTAGAACCGCTGGCAGTTCCCCTTTATAGCTCCTAGCTGGGCCCTTCTCAGCCAGAGTTGCCTCAGCTGGGGCTTTGCTCCTAGTCCCAGCTCCCGGCTGGGGTCGCGCTCTTAAAGGGCCAGTGTGGGGCAAGCACCCTGTCACAGAGACACACGGCTGATCAAAGAGAAATGGTCTCAGGTTGCAGCGTGGGTGATCTAGGTTGAATATGAGAAAAGACTCTTTCACTGAGAGGCAGTGTCCCTCCAAGATTTCTCATCCGTGAGCAGAGTGAGTTTTGTCTTGTGCACCGACGTTGACGCCATGTGTTCCTGCACCACTGTGGAACCCAGCAGTTACTTACTAACTAACTAGCTAACTTAGTTAATTAGTTAGTCATGTGGGGCTCAGGCCATGGGGCGCAGGATTCAGGGGGAGCTCAGAATAGGGGTCTGAGAGGTCGGATAGGGGGCAGCTCCTTGCTGAGGGGAGGCTGGAGCTGGGCTGCCCATTCCTCTGGGGTTCCTTGCAGGGGGTGGGCCCAGGACTGGGCTGCCTGGCTCCCCAGAAAGCTGCTTGTGGATGTGGGAGAGCCGAGCCGGGCTGCCAGACTCCTGGTCAGCTGGCAGCTCTTTATGGGAGGAGGGGCTGGGATGTGCTTCCCAGCTCCCTCAACTAGGGGACGAGCAGCTCCTGGGGTAAGGGGCCCGCCTGGCCGGGGGGGCAGCCGAGAGCCAGGGGGAGGTTTGGGAGCCATGTGGCAGGTCCACCCCCCCTGGGCCC